GGGCAGATTCCCAAACCAAAATTCTTATCTTTCGGATTTTTATGAGGGCGCCGATTTCTACAAAAGGACATGGGGTAATCCTGGAAGAAGACCAAGATTGTTATTTTTTACTATAGTATGAGTATGCTGAGGGCCCATAATCTATATGTTTGTGGTTAGCTCCCTTCTGCCATAAGCAGAACCCTTCGGCTTTTAAGGGTTAATGAAAGACCCATGGTTAGGATTACAAATATCGACCGAAAAAGCTTGCACAGTATCGGCACCATAAACGAACATAGACATCTACGATATTTTGCATTTAGGGAAGCAGGATCAGAAAATATTCTTCTATAAAAAAGTAGCTTGAAATCTTAATTGTCGCATGGATTACATAGCAAAAAGGCAAGGACTTTCTCGTGAAATAGCTGTGAAAACTCCGAGTATATTCGTGCACGCCTAAGAGATTCTCCAAAACATCGGTTTTTTTAAAGTTTTTTTACAGATACTATAAAGAACCAAAACGAAAGAAAAATTAAACCTAAACAGTGGATCAGAATCGTCTTTCTGACGTTACATTTGATGGTATGCAAATCAGTCGGAATAGGTTTTAAATGGAAATACGGTAATCGACTGTAGAGCCGGACTTAGCCATTTTTGAAACTTTAGCATCGTTTTTCTCAAAAATCGAATGCCCATGAACTCGAGCATTTTTTAAATCGTTAGGATTGTCAAAACACACAAGAATTAGTTTTACCGCGGCGTTTCCAAATTGACCAAATCCCAACATAAATCTCACGGGAAATTTGTTTTCTCAGACTCCGTGAACAGAATCAATTCTCGTGTGTTTTGACAGTCCTAGCAATCTAGATGATGGAAAAAAATGGTCGAATTCATGGGTATTCGATTTTGTCGAGAAAAACGAGTTTTCGATCGATATTTGTCAGTCCTACCTATGGGTCTTTCATTAAATAGGATTCCAGTTTATGCAACAAACGTCATGTATAAACTTGTAGTGGCTCCCTAGAATTACCCGTTGCTAAATAGTAAGAAAAGCTTTTGAAAACACATAAATTTCATCACAAAAAGTCCAAAAGAAGAAGTGAATACAAATATGTTTTTTTTGTAACAAAAAAATAGAGAAGAAGAAAGACTATTAAATCTTTACATTTCTCGCTACTGAATAAATTTTAATTCTTTCATTCTTTTATCGTATATGTCTGTCCATCTCATGCTTTCAATAAACCACTTTGCATATTCTTTTTTTTGTCAGAAAAAAATATTTAAAATTTTGCTTTTTCACAACAAACTTTTTTGTTGAGACAAAAAAATATTCTTGTATTGTACATGGCGCTTGACCATCTTACAGCGATACTGCGGATATGTATCGATAATCGATGACTAGTTAAGCACGCATTGAATACATTTTTGGGACTGAAATATTCTTCCACGCCTGCCGTTAGAGCATGATTCTCGTTTTCAGCGCCGTTACAATTGGAAAAGTCCCGTTTCTTGGTTCAGTCGAGAGACAATATCCTTCAGATCATTATCTAACCAATTTGATCAGTTATGTTCGAAAATTTTCAGTCAAAATTGGATTGAAGTTCATTAAAATAAGACATGCGCTTGCTTTTGACATTTCAAATGAAGCTTTTAAATTGTTCGAAATTTCGCTGCCATAACGTAGAGAATAACCGATACATTTGTCAGCTAGTAGTTGAGCATAATCTCATATCCACGAGTGAAATCATCTCCGATTCCTTTAACTAACCATTGAAACGCGGATGTTAATATTCAAAAACTTTGACTAAACTGTTGAAGATGATTGAAGCAAGGGTGAGATTCACCTGGAATGTCCAGGAAGTTTTATACTAAAGGCCAGTTTCCTCGATTTCTACCAAAATTAAAAACAGTTCTATTATAAATGCTTACCATGACTCTACTTCTTTTTCGCCTCTTGGATTTTTTTTGAAAAAAGCTGAAAAACTTTAGTTACTCTAAAAAAACTACGTCGAATTTTAGGCTATCACCTCTGAACATATGATTTATTACTGTTTGGTAACCAAAATCTCTGCAAAAATTATTGCAGTAAACGAATGAGAAATAGCAGAGTTTAAAAAAAATGTTTCAAAACTGGTAATTTTGATGAATAATACAAAAGAGCACTCTTACGATTAATTGTTCGAACATGTGAAACATGCACTCTAAAAAAACCGTGGAATAAAAAACTGAAGAGGATTTTTCATTTCGAAACGACACCGAACGCTTTTTTGTATTTTAAAGCGCTCAAAAAACCCTTAAAGGTTGATCAGTAAACTCAAGTTTATTGATATACCCTTAAGGATTTTTCGCAGGTTTTTTGAGCGCTTTAAAATACAAAAAAGCGTTCGGTGTCGTTTCGAAATGAAAAATCCTCTTCAGTTTTTTATTCTACGATTTTTTTAGAGTATGTCATTTGAATGTCAAACATTTTGTTATCTAATTTGTGCTTTATCTTACTGTTTTCGTTCAAATCCTATAGAAATTTTCTGACAACGACTTAAAACTACTGATATAACTTCAGCTTTTTATCACGAACTAGTGACATGATCTAAAGATCCAAACAGCTCTTCATTCTATTTGCTCATTTATACAAGTAGATTACATCTTGTAGTTTAGATTACAAGAGATATGAAAATCAAACGTTTTGAAAATGCGCTCGCTATGTAAGCCATAAGGAAAATTAGAAAAAAGCTGGTTTTGTAAAAAATTTCAAGGTACTCCTCCCTCTTTTTTCACTTTCTTGGCAAATCGAAAGCGAAAGTTCGATTGAATTTAGATTCATAGCAGAGATAGAACATCGAAAAGCAAAATGTATTTTTATCCAGAATTTTCTTCACCGATCGGGTCAAAAATTTTACCACAGGTACCTGCGACAATATCTCAGAAGAGGATTTTTCCATTTTCGTTTTTGAGCTTTCCATCTCGAGATATAAAAAAATGGTAAAAGCTTCCGGTGAAATCTAGGGTTTTTGGTAAACAGAGTTTACCAGAAATCCATAGAAGAACATGGCAGAAAATTTTACCTAAAAATACATCGATCTTTGAAGAAACTAATACCCTCAAACCTCCTCCCTTCCCCAATAAAATCAACAATAAATTCGTTTATTTAATTTACATAGTGATTTTCAAAACAGATTCAATGCGATTCAACATTTATCTAATCGAATGCAATGTACGACAATGAGTTCCATATTTTAGTTTCTCATGGACTGCTGTGACAGCGTCATTACAGTTAATGGGATGGTTATGGACAATCGATAAGTGTTCACAGAAAATTGAATGGTATTCATTAATAGCAATGAAATTTTGAAAAAATTTTACGCCATCCGATAAAAAACAATTAGATCTATCTATTTATCAAATATCGCTTATTCATAGTGAAAATTGAGTAAACTGTACCAGAGATACGACGAAATTTTTAAAACCTGACTTTAATTATTTATACATCTTTTCGTAAAATGTTCCTCTCGTCATCAGAGGAGTGATTTAAGATTACACGCGCACTTGAAGAGAACTGAAAAGACTTCTTTTTTCATATATGTCTAATGATGTCATGTGTTGTTTATTTACATAGTCATAGCATGTTTTTTCGCGTTTAATAGGAAACATATTCATCTGTGCAAGTAATTTTCTTCTCATTGACTGCTTACTGGATTTGTGTGCTTTTTATGGAGTATTCAGTGACAGTAATTCTTAAAGAAGCCATTTAAGGCTGTCGGCTCTTGTAAAAATTGAAAAATTGATCTTTTTTGTTGAAAAAAAGGATTTGCGAATCGACTGTACTTTTTGTTGTTTCCTATCGAATCTTTATTTTTAACCGAGACGAAAAAAAACTGTTAGATTAAAGGTGAGACAGTTCCAGTTTCTAGAGTTCCTGAGAATTGTTGGAAAGAACTGGTTAGCCGCTCTTGGCTGGTTACCATTAAACAAAGTCAATGTAACTAGCTTCACCGGTTTTATTTTACATTAAATTCTTGAAAAGAATTGATAGCCAGTTCGCGTTCTTTTAAAAAGAACATTCAGCAGTTTCCGTTCTTAGAACAAGAACGGCTAACTAGTTAACGTTTAGTAGAACGAAAGTGAAACTTTCCCACCCCTATGTAAGATAGACGATAGGAATTCTGCTCCCAAGCGATTGCTATACAAAATATACCTTTTTGAGTAGAAGTCCATAGTTAATTTTGCCTATTAGTCTCAATTTTTCGGCTCATCAAGATCTTTAAATCTAAAATCAGACTGTAGTTTTTATCGATACTCTGTTACAGAAAGAAGGTAGAGCTGGATAATTAAGACTAATATTATCTTAACTGTCGAAAAATGTGCATACATGAATGTAAATTTTTAAGCTGTGTAAAGTGTTCACATGTGTAAGACAACGACGGAAAAAGAGAATTGGCATCTGCATAAATTTTTTTTTTCTTCAAAATTCAATAAACCAGTTTGACAACTATTAAACGCTCTATTCCTGTAGTATCGTAGCCAAGATTCTACTGGTGGAGAGGACACATTGCCCAAACTTTTTCAAATAGACATAAAAAACTATTTTACGTCACATTGTGCGATATTTCATGAGAGCAAATTATTGTTTTTATATTTCCAAATTATTTTTTCTGTTATATATTCTTTTTAGATCTTTTATCATTTTAACCCATAGCCTACTAGTTTGGACGCCATTCAATGGAATTGTCACCCTCTTTGAAAAAACTATGCCCTTTCTGTGATAAACAAGTGGATACAATAAATTATATCGAACATATATCATCGCATCAAGATACAGATCCACAATTGACAAGTAAGAGAAACTTAACGAATTTCAAACTATCCTATAATAAAAAACCAACGGTTTCTTTCGGTATACTCGTCCAAATCTATCGGAATATTTAGCACAGCAATCCGAAATAAATTTTAATTTTAATTTTATTAAAGTTATGATTTACTGCCTCACTAGATAACCAACTGAATTACATTAGTCAAAAATTACGGTTCAACAAATGACAAGGAAATACCTTTACTTTCTTTTTCCAAATTCTGCATTATTTATACACACGAACAACCGCAAGAAAAAATATTGACTGAGAAGAAAGTGATATATCACCTGTATTATTAATCCATTGTGGTTGACCAACGATGTTTAGGAAAAATACATGACATGGGAGCATAGTGTATAAACACTTCCTTTTTGTTTGTTTCCTTTTTATATCAATATATAAACAGCAGACGCAGTCATCCGTTTATTAACGAAATACCTGCATGACAGCAACAATTCTGATTTATTTTGTCTTACCAGGCACAGTTTTTTTCAAAGACACTAAACATGAGATACAGCAGATCAAATTCTTTTTGTTTAATTATTTAATTTTGGAAGGGCTGTGAATTATAGAAACAGTTTCTTGTTAACGACTATTCTACTAAACACAATTTTGTCGTGGTAAACAAAGAGAAAATATATCTTTGTTTTTTCTAGATAATGGAACTGATACAGAAAAAAAAGAAGATTGTGAACCATCATTAATGTTGCAAACTGGTGAATGTTCAAAATGTTTAAAACAAATAAGTAGTGATTTGATTCGTTTATTTCCATGTAATCATTCATTTTGTATTAAATGTATTAGTAGAATGGCTCAGGATGGTTTAAAAGCTCAAAAAAAGCTAACATGTCTTATTGATACATGTTCTTATCAATTAAAAAAACGAGATATTAAACGTCTTCCAATTGAACAACGATATTGTGTTCAACTATTACGATTACTATCCGAAGAACGTATTCAATGTCAAAAATGTTTATTTTATTTTTCGGATGAACAAATTGATGAACATGAAGAAATATGTTCAGGTCGTGATTCACTCATACCGTGTGAAAAATGTTCATGTACGTAATTTATTTCATTACATAATTAGAATATTTACCAACAGGATGTATCAAATGTAAGATTTCCAATTGTGTTTAGTCACCATGGTGGTAGACAGTCTTTTGTTGAAGAAGTGAAACATTTGCGTGCGTATACCGATGTCGAACAATCGGAATTTAATGGATGTCTGCCGATTATTTTTATAGACAGCTCATTAATTATGAGTGTCCTAAACTAGCTTCTTATAATAGTTCGCATACTCTTACAGCCTGTCTGATCAATTACTTTCAAGATAAGCGTGATATTTGTTGTACTCATAAAAAGGTTCGACAAAACAGAAAATCTAACGGACCATGTCAAAACTTTGGATGGGAATGTGTCTGTTTCTCCATCCTAATCGAAACCTCTATTCCACAGTGGGCAATCAAGTGGACATTAGGCGAAAAAATGAAAGTGAACTTTTTTCAAGATTCAAATAGCAGGTCATATACTTCAGGTTACGCTTTATTTAAATGACATTAGAAGTTTGCTTCCAAGTGCCACAGTTAGTGAGAAAATCGGTGCGAAAGTTTTTGTTGCAAAACAGACTGATGAACAGAGGAAAATTATTTTTGGCGAAGCAGAATATGATAGTTATAAAAATCATATACAGTTTGAAACCAGAGCTTTCACTCTATCTGTTCGTAAAAATTTGTTTTTTGTGAGACGCTCTGGAACCGGAAAAATAATTTTTCTTTCTGCACTAGGTGTTTTCCGAAGTGCGAACTTCAGTATAGTGGGATTGCCATTTTTTTCCAAGCTCTAAATTGAACGAAACTTTCAGAGAATATTCTTCTACTAACGATACATTTATGCTGTTAGCACAAATGAACGCAAATGTTGCTGGACCGCATTATAAGTTTTTAAGGTAAATTCGACTTTTCTCGTTTCCGAAACAGCTGTATTAAAAAAATAATAACATATTCTTAATCAGCGCACAAAACTGCGTCAAGTGACAAAATTGTACAAAATTTTTTAGATATGCTCTTTCCAATGGTGTGGTTTACAAAGTTCACAAGTATTTTTATGTAGGTTTTCCGGAGATCCGGGTCTCTAGAAAACCTAGAAAATACATTTTTGAACTCTGTAAACCCCACTATTGAAAAAGCATATCTAAAAACCTATAAAAACAGCATTTGCAGTCTTTTGCACTGCTTCTAAAGTATATGTCCACTTGCCTAGCCAAAGTTGTCCACTGTATGTTCCCGTAATATCTCAATTTAACCATTTTTTTAATTAAAATACAGATAGTTTCTGTTCGAAGGAGTTAATAAATCTTTTCTCGTATCATAATATGGTGGCAGGTGGTAGTACCTATTATGTCTTCTTCCTCCTTAAAAAAAACTATAAGTGTTTGACGAACGACAATCATTTTTAATATTTTTTGATTATTTTTAAGAAAAATAACCATAACTTATCGAAGAAATATCTTTTTTACTTAAAATTTTCGGAAAATAATCTTTAACACTTGTATTCACAAATTTTGTATGCACAAATTATTCACACAAAATTGTCAAATTAAACAGATCCGATTTTAGGTCAGAATGTGGATGAGTAACAATAAAAAATTTAATTTAAAAATTGATTAATCTTAATCTTCTTTGACTAGAAACTATTTGTGTTTTAGTAAAAAATAGCTATAATGGTTGTTGAGTCACATAAAAATACATCCTGTTGACGAGTACTGTATGTATTTGACATACTAGATGTCAGAAGGGTGCCGGGAGAAAGTGTCTGTTTTAGTAGCATGGCAATAAGTTTTTACCGTTGGCACATGACGAGCGCTAAAGATATGAACGCGACGTTATTCGATGCAGAAATGTTCGCTCTATACATCTGTTCACTTAGTTTCTTCAATGGACGTTTATTTAAAAAATTATAGCTATGAGACCACGGGGCAATTCCCGTGGAAATTCTCCGCCTCATCCCATGGGGGTTGCCCCGTGGTCTCATAGCTATAATTTTTTAAATAAACGTCCATTGAAGAAACTAAGTGAACAGATGTATAGAGCG